AAATGTCCTTCTCTTCAAAGGCTGTTTGACAGGATGAAAGTCTTTTGGATTTCAATGACTCTGACTCCTCTGGAGCTGGGAGGACAGACTATTTTAGCAATTTCCATGGGAATGAATAGACACATACTTTAGCTATTCAAATATTTAACTAGCTCTATTGTTGTTGTTTTGAATCCCAAGGAGCCACAGCTGCCCGTTTGTGTCTGTTGTGCCGTTAAGGGGCTTGCTGATTCAGGAGGATCCCTTGAATGCTTTCATTAGCTTTCTCTCCTTTTCTCAGCCCAGGCCTAGGAGGAAATGAGCATTTGCAGCTCCAATTGCTGGGAACGCTGTGAGTGCTGAGGGTACTTGATAAATGGAGGCTCCAAGATGCCTGCTTTTTGATGGGCAGTTTGATGCTGGCAGCAGCCTGCATGGCAAGGCCTGTGTGGCTGCCTGATTAATTTACTGGCTATCGCTATGGGCAGGCAAATGAAACACAGGCCCGGGATTAAAGTGTAACAGGACAGATAGAGCATTAATCAGCCCAGGTACATGAGTCAGGAGGAGGTAAGGATCCAGAGAAAATAAAATGCCATGGAAAGCTGGAAATGATTTATTCTTTTTAATATATATCATCTAAGCCCGCTCTTTCTAGTTGCTTGGAGCCTACAAGTTGTAGGTCTCCATGTTGTGAAGACTTGACCATAAAACACTCCTTCCTTAAAACACCAGGGTGAAAGACACTGGCGGGGAAAATAAAGAATCATGAAGAATGAACTGACTGTAAGAAGGAAACAAAATTAAAAAATTCTCCATTTACAGTGAAATTTCCAGTTGTTTCTTTTTAAACGACTTATAAATATAGATTTTGCTTGGGGGAAATCATATTCTATTGACCAGATGAAGAAGAAGATGAGAGATCTGCTGATGAGGGCCAATTCTTCCGATCATTTTTGAAATGACTATAATATGAGAAAATAGTAAGGGTCTGTGGCAGGGTTCTGTTAACCCAACCAACTGAATTACTGTTAAGTAAGAACCCTTGAGCTCGAAAGCTTGGCTCTACACATTCAAGTGCTCTCATATTTGGAAATCAGCAAGAATAAATTCTTAGAGATGAAGCTGGAAATTTTATGAAACAGGACATTTCTCCCTCTAGAGTTTACTATGCCTCTTTGTGTTTGTTCAATCCACAATATTATAAGAACCTCTTTCAGGAAGGCTTGGTAGTTTAAACCCACCTGGCAGTGCCATGGAAGAAAGGCCTGGCAATCTGCTTCCATAACAATTATAGCCAAGAAAACCCTATGGAACACTTCTACTCTGTAACACATGGGGTCACCATGAGTCGGAACTGACTCCACAGCAATGGATTTGGTTTGGTTTTTGGTTTCCCTTCCTGTAATGGACAGAAACAAGTAACAGTCTTGCCTTTAGCATTCTGTAGCCCTTTATAGCTTCTAACAGTAACTATTTTATTCAGTCCCCCTTCAGACATGTCAGGTGGGGCAGAAAAGGACCAAGGACTCAAACCAATTACCCAGAAACATTGAGAAACGTGATTAGGAGGAATATTAGGAGGTCAGTTTTCCCCTTCCTCGTTCCACTCCCTTTACAAAAATTCTCTGACTTATTCTGAATGTGGGAGCAATCTATGATATCTTTCTAAACATAGAGTCCATTATTTTACTTTAAATAATAAACCCATCTATAGCTGGGCTAATGCTGGCTGAAAAGGCAGTGGCCACCGCTCTGGCTCAGGCCTCTCCAGCTCTCATGACAGCTGCTGCAGTGGTCTCCTCTTGCTCCCCTCTTGCTCCCCTCTTGCCCTCCTCCTGCCCACCCTCCATGCAGCAGCTGGAGAGAAACTTCTAAAATGTCACTCAGGTCCTCTCCCTCCCTCTACCTCTACTGGAAGTGGAGCAATGGTCCCACATCACTGCTGTAGACCTGGAGCCCAAACCCCTCATCTAAGTCTTGCACCAACTTCCTTCCCAAACTCTTCTCTTCCAATTCCCTGCCTCCCATCTTATACCTTGGCAACTGCAACAAGGATTAGTAGCTCTATGCTCATATTATGCTGTGTCTGCCTCTGTGTCTTTGCCAGTGCCAATCCTTTTCCCAGTTTTTTCTATTTATCCTTTATTACTCAAGGGTCACTTCCTTCAAAATACTTTCCCTGACCACTTCAGACTGGACTAAAAGTTTCTCCTCTCTGCTCGCATGAAGCCCTTTGCAGACCTCAATTATAGCCACACATTATAATTGTCTGTTTGCTTATCTATGTCCTCAACTAGATTATAAACTCTTCGAGGAGAAGCTATGGGTGTTTCAACTTCTTATCTTTACACAGTACACAGCATAGAGCCTCCACCCGTGGGCACAGGGCCGTGGCATTGCACTACAGCCTGAATGGAGCCCCTGAGGCTGCACAACTCAGGGAAGGGCCAGGCTGCCTGTGGCCCACCATTAGAGACCATGGCTTTGAGCTCTATAGCTCTGCCTTCCAAAATCTCCAGGGAAAATACAACTGTCTATGACAAAGATAACATGTCAAACCATCATGGACATTAAGACCAAGCACTGTTTGAGCAGCTGGCCAAACTATCAGTAGGGTGCTGGGAATGAAGGAAAAAGGACAGCCACCTTGAAGTGAAGGAAAGTGAGGGCAAGAAAGGCCTGCAGCCCAGGGGACCTCTTGAGAATTGGTGGAATACTGCACTGGCAGAGAGAGGGGCAGGGGTATAGGTGCCATGCCTTACCTATTTCAGAAGCCTTCCTGAGTACCCCAGGTATAATAACTGCTCATCCATTGTAGACCCAGTGATAAATTCATCAACATGTTCAGATTGAAAACCAACTGTGTACAATATTGTAGGAAGAACTAGCATTTACAGATTTCTTACTATGTGCCAGACATCTGTTATTAGATTCTCACCACCACACCATCAAGTAGGCATTGTGACCCCCATTTCTAAGGAAGGAACCAAGTCGCAGAGGGACTCGGTAAGCTTGAGGTCACACAGGCAGTAAATGGAGCAAAATGAGTGAGGAGTTCTTGCTCTTTAGATGCTAAAAATTGGTCAGAAAGGCTGGATTAGGGGTCATCCAGGCAGATACCTCTCTCATAACCCTGGGTCCCTTATGTGTTAGTTATCTACTGCTACTATAACAGAAATACCATAAGTGGGTGGCTTTAACGAACAGAAATTTAGTTTCTCAGAGTTGTTGTTAGGTGCCATCGAGCCAGTTGCGACTCACAGTGACCCTGTGTACAACAGAACAAAACACTGCCCAGTCCTGTGCCATCCTCACAGTTATTGTTATGCTTGAGCCCACTGTTGCAGTCACTGTTTCAATCCATCTCATTGAGGATCTTCCTCTTTTTCGCTGACCCTCATAGTTAGGAGGTTACAAGTCCAAATTCAGGGCACTGGCTCTAGGGGAAAGCTTTCTCTCTCTGTTGGCTATGAGGGAAGATCCTTATGTCTTTTCAGCCTCTGTTCCTCAGTTTCTCAGCTATCTTTGTGTGGCATCTATCTTCCCCCATCTGTCCTTGCTTGCTTCTGTGCCTAATCTGCTCTTTTTATATCTCAAAAGTGATTAGATTTAGGACACACCCTACACTGATATGTTCTCATTAACATGACAAAGAAACCTTATTCCCAAATGGGATTACATCCACAGGTACAGGTTTTAGGATTCCAACACATATTACTAGGGGGCACAATTCAGTCCATAACAGTCTCCATTGAGACACTCGTGGTCTTTCATAAACTTCCAGAAAACTGGGTGTTCAGGGTCAAAGGTCTTCATAAAGCCTTTGCATTGACTCTAGTAGTGGGTCTGGAACTCAGTCTCCTAGCTGTTCTTGCAGAAGTTCATCAAAGTTTAGCTTTCCCCCAAATTTAGCCTAAGGAACTGGGGGTTCTAGTGAGTGCTACCAGGTAGTGGTGCCAGTCTGCAGACGAGGTGGGGCTCCAATGCTCTCACAGAGCAAAGGCCCGACCTTCACTGAAATCATGTGCCCAGGGAGAGAGGAGATCTCACGGGCATGTATGTCCCACCAGACGATCTGCAAGGTGACCTGTGGTCTGGGAAACAGCGCTATGGGTGGGTAGGAAGGGAGAGGAAGAGATCAAAGCCAGAGCCCAAGCCCTGGAAGCTCAGATGGATCCTGGTGGGACTAAAGAGAAGGTGAAATCCTGAGATGAATCAACAACTTTGGCCAAGGATCTTCCTTTAGGCTCAGAGCTGATTTTATTAGGCCATCCAGAGCTAAGATGGAGTTCACACACTGTGTCTTAAAAACACAGCTGGCCCTCTGAAAAATGTAAACATGAGTTTTCTGAAGATAGCCCTGGCGGTCACTGGGAGAACAATCTGCAGAAAGGCAAGACTTGCATCAGGAGGGTGACGGGTTGAGTCCACTGCTGTTGGACAGTCAAGGACCTTTCACATGGAACATAGCTGCATCCCAACACATGCACAGCACCCAGACTAAGATTTGTCTTTTCCTGTGCTTAAGACAAGTAATGGCATGCAAGACTAGTTGGAAATGAAAACAGGGGATCAGGAGGGATTCCAGAGTCACTCACATTGGTTGTGTCATCAAATTTCTAGACAAAGGAGAAATAATTCTGCTTATTGCTTCAATGTTCTATCTATGGGGCTCAATATAATCTGCACATGTAGAAATAGCTGGGCCACTAACATTTTCCAATTTTAGTGGAATGCTTCTTATCACATAGCCATGGACTTGCTATGTCCCAGCCTCAACCTGGGACATTCATTCTTTCACTCATTTATTCAACAAATGGTTATGATGATAAAATATTTTGAGGCAAGTGAACAAAATGAACAAACATGCCTGCCATCGATGCATTTTGTGGGAGGAGCAGATGATAGACAACAACCACAACCAAAAGGAAACACACAGCCTATCCGGGAGGGCTAAGTGCTCTGGAGGGAAGTTAAGCAAAAGTGATAGGGAAGGTCAAGCAGAGGTAATGACGGCAATTCGAAAAACATGGTCAAGGAAGGCTTCGCAGAGAAGGTGATATTTGAACAAACACCTAAAGGAGAGAAGAAGGACGTTCCAGGAAGAAGGAATAGCATGTACAAAGGCCATGGGGGGAGAATTTCCTGCGGATGGGCTATGAACAGCAAGTGGCCAGCGTGGCCAGATAATCTAGGAGAGCAAGCAGCTTAAACCAGGTTAGTAGCTGTGAGGTGGAGTGAAGCAGTTGGACTCTAGATATATTTTAAAGGTATAGCTAACATGGTTTGATAAAGGCTTGGACAAGGAGTGTGAGCAAAAGCGAGGAGTCCTGGTGGCTCATAGAGGTTGGCTTAAATATCTGTTTATTAAGATGGGTCAGACTACGAGAGAGAACATGGTAAGTGTAAAGTGGAATCCCTGGGTGGTGCAAAGGGTTAATGCACTTGGCTGCTAACTGAAAGGTTGGAGGTTTGAGTCCACCCCAAGGTGCATTGGATGAAAAACCTGGCAATCCATTCCCAAAAAATAAACCATTGAAAACTATGGAGTGCAGCTCTTCTCTGACACACATGGGGTTGCCATGATTTAAAGTTGACTTGATGGCAACTGGCGAGTGTAAGGTGCCTACTAGGCACTCAGATGAAGCTGCTGAGCAGGCAGTTGGATATCTAAGTCAGGAGTTCGGGAGAGGTCTTGGCTGGAGATAAAAATTTAGGCAATATCAGCATTTTAAAAAGTCGTGAAACTGGATAAAATTACCAGAAGGGGGAGTGTCGCTAGAGAGAACAGGGGCTCAGACACTGAGTTCTGGGCTTGGCAACAATTATAGTTGGTAGAAGAGAAGGCGTGGCCACTGAGATGAGAGGAAACCAGGAGAATGGGGCGTCCTGGAGGTCAAATGGAGAAAGTATCAAAGGAAAACTCGAGCAGCTGTGCCAGATACTTCTGACAGGCCAGATAAGATAAGAACCATGAGTGACCACAGGACTTGGTAACGTGGAGACCTTGCAAGGGCAGTTCCGGTGCAGCAACCGGAGAGAGAGCCTGATCGGAGTGAACTAAAGAGAGACGGGGAGGAGAGGTATTGTAGGGAGAAAGAACAACACTTCCCAAGAGATTGCTATAGGAGGTAAAGGAGAAAGGAGCCATAGATGGTGACGGTGGTTTGTGGGGGTCAGTGGTGGGTCAGTGGTAGAAGTCTCACCCTCCATGTGGGAGACCAGGGTTCTATTCCTATGCAATGCTTCTCATGGATAGCCATCACCTGTCTGTCATGGGAGGCTTGCATGTTGCCACAATGCTGGACAGGTTTCAGTGGAGTTTCCAGACTAAGACTAGGAAGAAAGGCCAAACAATCTACTTCCAAAAATTGGCCAGTGAAAACCCTATGGATCACAACAGTCTGATCCACAACCAGTCATGGGAGTGGAGCAGGACTGGGCAGTGCTTCGTTCTCTTGTACGTGGCGTCACTATGAGTCGGGGGCTAACTTGACAGCAGCTAAAACAACTATAGTGGTGCATGAGGCTTAAAGTAGTTTGTTTCTCAAAGTAGGAGAAAGGCAGCATATTTGTAAGCTGATGGGAACACTCCAGGAGAGAGGAAAATGTGACAACGTAGGGGAGAGAGGAGTAATTGCTGGAGAAATGACCTCCTACGGGTGCACTGGTGGAGGGACTGCCCTCCAGAAGAAACAACATATCAGGAGGGGAGGCAAAGCAGAGGTAACTCATGCATGCAGGTGGGACATGGTAGTGGGAGTCTGAAGGTGATATCTTCTTCTGACAACTTTTCAGGATTACGGAAAGCAAGGTGGGGAGCTAAGAGTGAATTAATGGGAGGAAGAGGTAGAGGTATGAGGAGAAAAGGAAGGTACAAAGACTTTCTTTAAGAGAGAAGGGGTGGTGAAAACACTGGCATACCACCATAGATGGGTGCTGGAGTGAACCAGGGTTATTGTTTTGCCAACAGAGGGACAAGGATGCTGGCAGTGTGTGCAAGGGAGCGATTATAACATGTGACCACAGAATCAAACCTGGGCAGATTGGGGACATGAGCAAGTTGAGAAATAGCAGGGGCGGGGGTGGGGTGGGAAGGTCAAGGATTGTTGGTGTCAGGATACCAGAGTGAGCTGAAAAGATAGGACAAGGCTGCCAAAGCGAGGCATTCTTGGCAATGATGCAGAGATTGGTAATGACAAGGTCAAGGGTATGTCTGTCCACAGGAGACAGTGACTGAGGCAGGGTGTGTCCCTGGAAAAGAACTAAACATAACAAGAATGGGTTGGGTACCTTTGCTAATCAGTGAGAGTAATCAACAAAGACATCTTATTTTAATTCTAAGACCTTTTGGAAGGAAGGGAGAAAGAAAAGAGGGGAGGGAGGAGAGAGGGAGGGATGTTGGCAATGAAACGCACCACTTACTAACATCACATTTCTGAAAGTTGAGCTTGAGACAAAGTAACCAAGAAACCCAAAACCCTCTGGTTTCAGAGCTCCCAAAGTCCTCCATGCATACCTCTAATAAACAGCAGCAATTTGTCTGCATTTTGCAGACGCACTTGATGTGCCGGAAGCCTTGCACCCGCCGGTTTGCAGGGATTAGGGAGAATGGCAAAGCATAACTCTCAGGCAGCAAAGCGGAGAAAACCCACAGGCATGCCAGGGCTTGGCCGTTCAGAACAAGCAGTTTGCTTCGTGTCTGCTAGAGGCTCAGGGATCAGCTCCACATCATGAAAAGGAACCCTTGCCAAATTCAGCACAGGAGCAAACACTCCATAAATAGGAGGTGCTGACCAAGTGAGGGAAACTGTCACAGCTGTGCCTCCACAGGGGCCGCAGCGAACCGGGGGTCTGCCAGCCTTCACATGAGGATGGAAATGTGGCAAGACCCTGTGGGGTGACAACATTTCACAGCAAGAGGAAACTGTGGGCCAAGAGTCTGAAGTCTCTGGCTTTTTGTTCTGTTTTCCACCTAGTCCACAAACATTTAACAAACAAACATTAGATTCTTCTTCTTCGTTTTTTTTTTATTGTGCTTTAGGTGAAAGTTTACAGAGCAAATTAGTTCCTCATTCCATAGTTTGTACATCAAGTGTTCCATGACATTAGCTGCATTCCCCTCAATGTGTCAGCACTCCCCTCATTTCTACCCTGGGTTCCCCATTTCCTTTCCTCTGGATTTTCTACCCCTTCCTGCCTTCTCATCTCTGCTTTTGGGTAAATGTCCTTTTGATCTCGTATAACTGATTGTTCTAAGGTACCCGTTCCTCTCGCATGTTTATTGTTTATTTTATGGGCCTGTCTATTGTTTGGCTGAAAGGTCGTCTCCGGTAATGGCTTCAGTTCCAGGTCAAAAGGGTGTTTTAAGACCATAATCTCAGGGGTTCTTTCAGACTCTGTCAGACCAGTAGGTCTGGTCTTTTTGGTGAATTTGATTTTTTGTTCTACGTTTTTCTCCCACTCTCTCTGGGACCCTCTGTTGTGATTCCAGTCAAAGCAGTCAGTAGTGGTAGCTGGGCACCATCTAGTTCTGGTCTTGGGGTTGTTTAGGCTGTGGTTCATGTGGTCCATTAGTCCTTTGGACTAATTGCTCCCTTGAGTTTTTGGTTTTCTTCATTCTCCTTTGCTCCAGACGGAAAGAGACCAATAGTTGTATCTTAGGGCCGCTCCTCGCAAACTTTTAAAACCCCAGACACTACTCACCAAAGTAGGATGCTGAACATTGTCTTTACGAACTATGTTGCACCTATTAACGTGGATGTCCCCCTTGTATGGTCCTTTGCCTCCTAGCCTAGGAATTTCATCCCTCAAGCTGTCTGGTTATGTCTAAGAAGTTTCCATAACGGTGCTCTTGTGTGGTCTATTGTCCATATTAATATACACGCAGCACCTACAATTATGTATGTAGAAATATCCACAACCAAATTTATATCTGCAGGTGGGTGCACTCCCTTACACTCTCCCACACCTCTTTAGCATACCTATCTATCTGTGTATCCATTCTAGATTATTATTTGTTGATACTATTGTTGCAGGATTGACTATGTTATAGTAATTACTGTACTTGCCCTTTATTCTTGTGTTCCTCTCAGTATCTTCCTTTGCCTTGGTCGTGTTGTGTTGACTTCCTCCATATTGTATATTGCCTTTCCCTCCACCAGTATTAACACGTATCTTCTATCTAGTTAGTAATTTTTCCTCTCTGCCTCTCCCATCCCTGGTAACCATCAAATAATTTTTTTTTTCTTCTGTGTGTAAACCTTTTCTAGTTTTTTTATAATAGTGGTCTCATGTAATATTTGTCCTTTTGTGATTGACTTATTTCACTCAGCATAATGTCCACCAAATTCATCCATGTTGTGAGACGTTTCACAGATTCATCATTATTCTTTACCATTGCATAGTATTCCATGGTACGTATGTACCACAGTTTGTTTATCCACTGATCCATTGATGGGAACTTAAGTTGTTTCCATCTTTATGCTATTGTGAATAATGCTGTAATGAACACGGGTGTGCATATGTCTGTCTGTGTCACGGCTCTTATTTCTATAAGGTATATACCTAGGAGTGGGATTGCTGGATTATATGGTATTTCTATTTCTAGCTTTTTAAGGAACTGCCATACTGTTTTCCATAGTGGTTGTACCATTTTACATTTCCATGAGCAGTGTACAAAAGTTCTAATCTCCCCAAAACCTCACCAACATTTGTTATTTTCTGTCATTTTGATTACTGCCATTATTGTCAGGGGGAGATAGTATCTCATTATAGTTTTGATTTGCTTCTCTCTAATGGCTAATGACTGAAAGCATTTCTTCATGTGTTTGTTAGCCAACTGAATGTTTTCTTTGGTGAAGTGTTTGTTCATAGCCTTTGCTCATTTTTTAATTGGATTGTTTGTCTTTTTGTTGTTGAGGTGTTGAAGTTTTCTATGCATTTTAGAGATTAGACCCTTGTCAGATATGTCATATGAACTACCATTAGATTCTAAGCTTTGTGAAAGGCACTGGTGGGGTTCACATCCAATAGGCAAATATTACATATTTACTAAAGTGAGAGGCACCTCAGAAGAAAGGCCTGGCAATCTACATTTGAAAAATCAGCCATTGAAAACCCTGTGGAGCACGGTTCTACTCTGACACACATGAGGTCACCATGAGTCAGAACTGACTAGACAGCAACTGGGTTTTGGTTTTGAGATGCTGAAGTCT